CCTTTTTCGGAAAACAGCACGTTAATATACAGGGTGTCCCAAAAAGATGTGCACACTGTTTAATCGTTAATAACTCTCTTATTTTTATGTCTTTTGCCCAGCTTGAGATACCATCTTTTCAACTTAAATTTACAATATGGAGTGAATTATCAATTGCTCTTCGTTACTGTAGGGTTACGATGGGAACTTCGACGAGGATTTCAAGTTATTGAAAGCGATATTTTGCCTCAGATAGAAAGCCCAAGTCACTCATTTTGAATATAAATTGCACTTCAGTATAGTGCAAGTGCTTCTTTCATAAGTTATTTCAAATTTAGGGTAACAACCAATGCTCGTCAGAAATGTGATTACGCCATGAAAGTTCGAAAAACTTGTGGAAAGTTGTGTAGTGAGATCAGCACGCCTGGAAACCCTACACAAATCTTCAGATTTTTTTAATTCATTTCACCAAAGGGCCTATTCCACAATGACGCTGTATGCCGAAAGTTCATACTGTAATCTTACAGTAATGCAGAGTGTTCTATGCCGAATATTTAAGTTGAACCTTGCTCTACAAAAGAATACCTCATGCTCGGCAGAGACATGAAAGCAAGAGAATTATTGACGATAAACAGAGTGCACATTTTTTGGGACACTCTGTATATTTGGCTGCACTGGATCGACCGGGCCAAACGCCCGCAAGCGCTTCGCATGCGGGTTAACGTTGGCATTCGCGCGCATGATCATCATAACGCCCGTACTCGGCAGCCGCGTTGCAGGCACTCTCCATGCACTCAGCGTACGTACAGTGGACGGACGATTTCGCGCAATCGACTATACCTAACTTGCTGTCAAGGTTGTCTTACACACGTTCAAAATATCGTCGGTTGACAGTTACCCCGGTGTATTCACGGATAGACAATATAGCTCTCCCTTTATTGAAAGAACTTTTCGGAGAAAATAATGCAATTTCTTTATATACAAAACAGAAAGTCTGTGTTTGAACCATATGTGTTCTATAGACTCCCTTCTTCGCGAATCAATTGCGATGAAACTTTGCACACGTATGTTTTTTACCTCGGTGGGAAACATAAGTTGCTTTTGCGGCGAATTACTGAGTCTGTGGCCCGCAGCAAACCTCTCTTTAGCATCCACCTTTAGCGGGCTCTTAAAGGCAGTGTCCCATCAGACTGGGGGTATCTGGCTCCCATAGTCATGTAATAGTAGACCCCTTACCTAATCGATGTCTGAAGTTCGGAGCGAAAAAGGCGGTCTACCAAGCCTAAAATTTGCTCCGAAAGTGGGCCGAATCTTACGGTAGACTCGAGCGATTACGAGATGGATGCAAGGTAGAGACGCAGAGTTGTTGCGGGTCCCTGCGCTCATGATGTGTGCGCTATACGCACTCTGGCCCTGCAAATCGACATTGCTGTATGGGCTGCATTCGGCTCTACCGTAAGATTCGGCCCATTTTCGGAGCAAATTTTAGGCTTGGTAGACCCCCTTTTCGCTCCGAACTTCAGACATCAATTAGGTAGGAGGTCTACTATTACATGTCTACGGGAGCCAGATACCCCCAGTCTGGTGGGACACGCCTTTAAGTTGGATTAGCACCTCAGCACCAGTAAGCTGTCCACCTAGATGTTTGTCGCTTTGTAGACGTGATAAGTAACTGTTCCAAAGAAACCAATAACGCTTGTGTGTATGGCTAAATGAATAAGTGATTGCGATAGTATAGGGATGGCAGCTTTGGCACCGGCTAGAGATATCATTTTTGCCACATCGCCGCGCAATCTCTGACAGCGGCCACTATCAAAAATCGATGTGACCCCTATCAAGGATCTCGTCAAAGGGAGATTGAGAGACGGCCCTTCAACGCTAGCCTTAGCAGCCTAATTACCGCGCGCCTCTGATTGGTCGCCACTGTCGCGGCGATTGGATACGCGAGAGAGGACGAATCAAGCAGAAGCACTTTTTCAAAGCAAAGAATCAAAGAAGATTTCGAGTTTCACATGAAACACAGGAAATCTTACGTGTATGGCTTACAAGGGAAGGATACTTAATCGCACTGACGATTAGGTAAGCGGTGTATACCACGTATACCGTCCCCAGACGGTGATCTCTAAACCGCAATCCATATCTGCTATGACGTCATTCTGGAGGAGTTATAAAGGATTTTCGGTGCAGTGGATAGTGGCTTAAACTGCAGAGCTGGACGTCGTGGGTTCTCCTCTGAGAGGCCACTCGTTTTGCATTTTTGTAAAACTTAGCAGGTAGGTTGCAAAACCTGTCTACATTTAAAAAAGTTGATTTTACAATTTGAAGCAATATATTTGCATTTATTGGCACTGAAACACCGTCTAACCTGAAAAAACACTCGTTTTGAGCCTTTTTCATTAAAGGCAGTGTCCAGGCAGATTCTCGACTTCTATATTTTTTGTTATCCAGGCCTTTCCATGGCGCTGATTCCGAATATGGAACTCAAAAAGCGTGAATTCCTCAGAAAACCACCTTTTGGGGCTATTTTGGGAAAACCCGGACGAGTGCTTCTGATGTTATCCTTGTCGAAAGCAAATATTAACAGGTAAACGCTGTAAGTTCGACTGTGTTGGTCATGTGAAAACACGTCATGGCTGAGGAGATTTCGTTCATAAGGGGTTGGCCGTCCGAGGAAGGTGGGCGTGGTCGTCGAGCTCGGATCTGCCTGGACGCTGCCTTTAAATACTTTACTCAATTTTACATTGAAAATTCCGAATTCGTGCTTAACATAGAGAAGAGCAGCTAACCTGTCAAAAATGGCATCTTTAATGAAATGAAATGAATGAATGAATTCAATGAATGAATTCAATGAAAAAGGCTCAAAACGAGTGTTTTTTCAGGTTAGACGGTGTTTCAGTGCCAATAAATGCAAATATATTGCTTCAAATTGTAAAATCAACTTTTTTAAATGTAGACAGGTTTTGCAACCTACCTGCTAAGTTTTACAAAAATGTAAAACGAGTGGCCTCTCAGAGGAGAACCCACGACGTCCAGCTCTGCAGTTTAAGCCACTATCCACTGCACCGAAAATCCTTTATAACTCCTCCAGAATGACGTCATAGCAGATATGGATTGCGGTTTAGAGATCACCGTCTGGGGAAGGTATACGCGGTATACACCGCTTACCCAATCGTCAGTGCGATTAAGTATCCTTCCCTTGTTAGATAGGTTTGTCAGAGCACGTACAGGTTATGGTGTTTGGAAAACTAGAAAGAGAAGGAAATTACGAAATGACGAGTAGGAAAGTTCAACATTCTCAGGTTTTGGTCTTTGCTGTTTGAACATTGTCACTATTATTTTCCAACTATGTGCGCTCGCTTGCTTTGGAATATTCAACAAAATCTGAGAACTCTGCTAGATGTAAGAAAATCTGAGTAACCAGCACCGCTCTGGGCAGGAACATTGTCACTGTTATTTTGCGCTCTGGGGCGTCTCGTTTGCGCATTATTTCCGTACCAGTGCTTCACCTCTGCTTCGCAGAGGCTCGCACTGGTCCCACTATCTGTATGCCTCACTCAATCCTCAATCTCAATTCCATAATGACATTGAAACTCACCGCGCTATGCAGATTATCACAAATAAATCGTAAACAACCACTCATTTCTAAAGCTTCTTCATGAGAGACCGGTAATTTTGCGTGGATAAAACCTTCCCTAGAAGAACAAATGCAAATTCAAATCGGTTTCTGGCTTTTGATGGCTTGCTAGTCTCCTTAAGGACAATAATCACCGTGGCTACATATCTGTGCAAAAATCTTCACAAATGATCAGGTAAAATCTTGGCAAATTGAACTATACAACCAATTTTTTGGCGCCGTTTTCATAAAGTAATAAATTTTTGATCGTTTTTTTCGGGCTAAAGTCTATGGGTTGCACATTTACTTGTCAAACACATCCATGACTTTGCAGAAAATGATGCTACTGGCCCAATTTTGCTGGCCAGAAACCAAGTGGATCCATTTGATGCGCAGGTTTTCAGGGTTCCACTGAACGGATCCGCTTGCACTTTTGTATAGTGGACTTCCATGCTGCTAGCATGCGCCATGCAAAATTTAGGCACAGGACGTTGGCTGGAACACGCTCTAGGAAGTTCGTAACGGACAGACAGACAGGCATACACACAAAAAGACGTAAACAAGCCTTAGCCCGTTATTATAAGTTATGATGATCATCCCAAAACGGACATTGCTCTTACAAAAATCAGATGAAATCAGCGCGGCGTCTGCCGAGCTCACCCGACAAATGCCGTTGCATTCTTATAACATGAGGGCAGTGACCTTTCGTCATTTTACCCTACAAAACTCGACTAAGGCCTTCAGTCCAATGATCTGCACTGATGGGGGTTTCTTATGGGCCCCTTGTCATTTATTAGTTTTTGGCACTTTTCAGTGAAAATGGATCCTTTCCAGCAGCTAGCAAATATTTGCACGATGTCGTACAGACTACAGCAGTAGAGCTCATTTTCATATCTCGGATGTAAGTCGATAAGCATTTCTTTGCGCAGAATCCCTTGATTTCGATCAGAATAATGCCTCGCAACTAAGTGCAACAGATTTGGTCTCAGCGTTTCAAGCAGATTCTGAGTACTCTCATTTTATAGAAGGCTTATCCAATAAAGGTTGAGTGCCTTTAATCCTAAGTTCATAGGTATCAGGGATGGCGAGCGCATACAAAGCAAGTACTACATTGTCAAGGTATTCTTCTTATTCTTCGAAAATTCGCTTCAAACTTCCTCTGTCTTTTCATTTTCGCCTTCCCTTTCATATCGTTCATCTACAAAGTCTGTCCATATTATGCTAGAAAAAGGAAGAGGGCGAAGAGACAGTGCAAGGACTGACAAAACAAGGCCTATAGAGAGACACAACAAAAATATGAGCTTGCGTATTCGATGTGCGTAGAAGTTATTACTTGCGTATTCGATGTATGTAGAAGTTATTAAAGTTCTTTTTTGCTGGAATGAAAGCAAAACAAAAAATTTTTTATGCATACACACGCACAGATTCTACATACATACATGAATTCAGCGAATAAGTAACTCAACGCAATGTGAATAAATAATTTTAATTTTTGTGAATAAAGCAATTTTCGACTGTTATCAGAGCCGCTTCTCAAAACACTCGAACACCATCCGTTGCGACCACAAAGATAACAAGTGATTTGCTTCTGGCAAGATCTCGCAGTTGCCTTGGGTCACCGGCAGGCAGCTTTGTCTGCAGAGTTGGGCTTCAATATAAGAGTTACCAAGCTTTTTGAAGAATAAAACATGCTAGGTTGATACAATGCTAGAAAAGTTTGATTTGAACAAGCGTACCAAATCTGTTCGATGCTTAATGTGCGAGTTTGTGTAGTATACTTGTACCTTCTGAAGTGTTCCCCTAAATATGCAAGAGATTCACTCAGCAATATTATTTTTACGAAAATATGCAAATTGTGGGCAATAACCATAAATCGGGGGGTTTCTAACATAGCTTTTTTTAATCATATCGAATTCCCAGAAAAAAAACGCGCTCCAAGTTGTATATGTTTCTCATAGACTTATTACTCACAATTTATCCTCCAGAACTTTGTAAATGCTCGCGATACTCCTATCAGACGGTGCTTCGAAATCAAGTTGTCGTCGAATGATGCCGGATTGAGCCTGAGTGCAAACGATTTCCGTAAAGCATACTTAAAAACTTTGCACCTTCTCTAAAATTATAATTCGTATAAGCAGCATTTCTACTGCATCTTGCCAAGGAGCAGCCATGCCAGGCTGAAATTAGACAAACTAAGACCATTTGTAGAAACTCGAATAGCATGAGGACAAAATTCAATTCAATGGTATTGTTCAGACTTTCTGAAAGGTAGGAACCGCACATGATATGCATTGAATAAATAAAGTGCGGTTCATAATTATAGTACTAGGTCGTTTCAAAAGTAATTTCGCTTTTTCAAACGAGCACCACATTTGATGGAACAAAGGTTTCTAAGAGATCTTGGAGGCATTCGATGCAGAATCTCATCCTCTTTCTAACAGTAGTAAAATGTTGCAGCCCAGTCATTGAGCTTTCGGAAAATAACCAAAATCTGCGACCCATGTATTTGAGATGGTCAAGTTTCACGATTTTTCAAAAATTTCATATCAATCCTCAGAAAGAGTACAAGTAACGATTCGATAGAGTAAACCTTATAGAATACAGTACTACTTTTTTCTCTTTCTCGTAACTCGCCGTATTTTTTTAAAAGATTCTTTAACAGAGCCATCGGATTTTGGCAGGCCCCCTCAGCCACAATAGCATCATACATCAGTAATTACTCGGAATTTCAAGCTTTTAAGATGATATATGACTTAATATTGATTGTATAAAGCAAATGAGAGTTTGCGGAATCCAAATATCAGATTTCGAGTTTTTCGGGTACAGCCTGGGGCTCGCTAAAAAAAATGAGTTATGATGATTTCATCCCCGAAAACTAAACGAATTGGAAACATAAAAACACTCGTAAGAAAGAGGAGAGAATGCTGCATCGAATAGTGCGCGAGCTGCTTTCTCGTAGCTCGCCGTAATTTTTTGAAAGATTTTTTGACAGAACCATCGGATATTGGCAGGTCCACCTCAGCCACATTCGCATCAAACCATAATTTTTCGCAATTTGAGACTACCAAGATGGTACTATGAGTTAGCATTAATTTCACAAGGCAAGTGAGTGTTTACGGGTTCGAAATATCAAATTTCGATTCTTTCGGGTACAACCTGGGGCTCGCTAAGAAAATGACTTATGATGATTTTATCCCGGAAAACAAACGAATCGGAAACATAAAAACACTCGTAAGAAAGAGGAGAGAATGCTGCATCGAATAGTGCGCGAGCTGCTCTTCTTTTGATGTTCTACGAGGATTTAGCTGCTCAAGTATGGAAATCGATAGCATCAGTTGAAATTCTGTTAAAAATGTATGAAAAGCTATGGAAAGGAGTAAAAAGTAGAACTGTATTCTATAAGGTTTAGTCTATTGAATCGTTACTTGAACTCCTTTTGAGGCTTGATATGAAAGTCTTGAAAAATCGTGAAACTTGACCATCTCAAAAAACATGGGTCGCAGATTTTGGTTTTTTTCCGAAAGCTCAATGACTGGGCTGCAAACATTTTACTACTCTTAAAAAGAGGATAACATTCTGCATCGAATGCCTCCAAGATCTCTTAGAAACCTTTGTTCCATCAAATGTGGTGCTCGTTTTGAAAAAAGCGAAATTACTTTTGGAACGACCTAATAATTATACGACCACCCCAAATTTCAGAAATTTTTGGATTTTTTGGAAAAAACTCAAAAAGTTGTTAGTACCACACGAAAAAGCACGGTCGAAAACGGTATTTAATAAAAAAGAATGGAAATCGATGTCAATCTTAGGAGTGTTTTTGCGCCTACAGATTTTCAGCGGTTCATAATTATACGAACACCTTAAAAAAAGGTCCATTATTCATTCAAGATTGCAATCTTTCGAGTCCAAATTTTTTAGAGTTACAATAACAAAGTCTAAAATATCTACTACACACTAGACCAGGTGCAGTTAAAAAGGAGGAGCGTTACTTTTTTCAAATGGTTTCAAATGCTTTTAGAGTCACTGCGCTCTTAAAATGTCGGTTTTTCCATGTTTTACGCGCTCTAATTAGCTTCTACCAAGTCTATGCGATAAAATAAGCTCTTTCGACATTTTGAATGACGCTTGGGAAATATTTGCGTTTTCGCGCTGTTTCTCAACCAGGTTCCAACCTCACCCTAGAGTTAGCACGATGAGCCTCAATACTTAGCTTATAAAGCTCGACAATGAAAATAAGCACATAGTATGCAGAAGTTTACGAGACTGTGATTTGGCTAGAAAAAATCAGCAGCGTTGAGCGTTTGTGGCCAAGCACGTCACTTTACCAAAACCAGTGTTTTTACTATCGCAATCACACCTTTATTTGGATTTTAGCTCCATAGCCACAAGACTAGTTCTGCAAAAAAAGCAAAAATCTTGGCATGGATACATCATCATGCAAACAATGTAGCTGTTTTATATCAAATATTTGCGCAGGAGAGAAGCTGAGTTTTGAGGGTCGAAATCGTGCTAACTCTAGGGTACGGTTGAGATTTGGTTACAAATTGTCTATCGAAAAAGCTTATCTTATTTCATAGCCTTGGTAGAAGCTAATAAGAGTGTGCAAACCACAGAAGAACAAACGTTTTCGGAGCGCATTGATTCCAAAAGCATTGAGAGCCATCGGCTTCTCCAGTTTCTTTCAAAAAGTTCAGAAACTTTTGAAATCTGGGGTGTTCGTATAATTATGAACCGATTATAAATCAGTAATTATTTTTCAAAATTGGTACGAATAAACTGCTTACAGCGGTGTATGCTGAACTGGTAGTGTATTGTGACATAGTAAAGTCACTTGCAGACAGTCTGCCACCACGATGTGATGTCCTAAACTAGTGTTTCTTAGAAAAAGTTGCTTCTGAAGATTTCCGGGAAAGGATTTGGAGACCTACTCTACGCTGGATGGCATGAGTTGACTTGTTGTGGCCGTGCCAGCGCTAATTCTTGATGTATCCTCATTCGGATACTCTTAAAAATTTACAGTGCTTTTTGATCATCACAATGATAGAGGCGAAGATGAGCAAGTATTCAGATTGTACTAAGTGATTGAAATCAAAGTGTTCTTACGGCCGTAAATTGTTAGATTTTGACATTTTTAATTGCCTTCGAATGGGAGTCTACGGCTTGCGGAAGTCAGATAACTCTACAATCATGATACTGCCCAAAAGCCGCGTGGCTAAAGAACACAATCGGATATGTTTCTTTGTGTATTGGACCTAATGTCGGCAATATACAATATGCAAAAAAGCGATTTAAGAATTGGCTGAAGCTCGTTCTAAAATTTTCGTGACAGATAGAAATCACATGCACAAAAAAGAGCAGAGGCTTTGGTGTTATTATTCCAGATTATACAACATCCACGACTACAAGAGATCGGTACAGCTTCAAGTCAAAAATGGAATAAGCAGCTTATGAATTCCATAAACAAGCACTAAGTTGAGTTAATGGTGGCATAATAAAATATACCGTTGTACATCCCAGGATCCTCTCCAGATTGCTCTGAATCTTCCAAGGCAGAGGATATGTTTCCCCACAAAGATTCTATATAGCTTGAATGTGAATTCTCTCCTAAGCTTAAAAGTGTGAAAAAAAGAAGTTTAGCTATTGTGAAACACTCACTTGGAACAGATGATTCTGTCTTGAGTTGTTCCCAACGAGCGGCAGCTTGATCATCATCAGCTACCCATTTAGTGTTCACTATGTAATTACAACTGTAAAGTTATAACTGATATGTTGCCTCTATAAAGAGACGGCGGTCAAACCACTCAGTCATGGTTACATTCGCAACACGCAGTACTGTTTTCTCATTAACCGACCCTCCCTAGAGACATAATTCGCACAAAATTTTGGAAGTTTTTCTGCTACTGGGCTTATCTCTGAGCAGGAGACGGTCAAGATGATGTGTTTGTGCTAGATTACGTTAAGAATTAGCTAATAATGTCAAAAATCTGATTGCCATGATGAAAGACAGAATTTCAGCTTAAGCCAATTCAGCATACAATGCTTTAGAGCCATCCATCTGCAGGCACCTTCTGGAGAGATTTCCTCGCTTAGGAATTCATCTTAGTGGAACTTGGAAAATTACAGTCTTTTTGAACAAGGATCGAACTAAAATGTTGGCGTAAATTCACGCATTCGCTAGGGGCTTGCCTGCATATACGCATTGTTGCTAGAATTAGGGCATTGGAGAGAGCAGGCATGCACGCCTTAGCCATGACGCAAAATCGTGGCGATGCAGATGCGCATTACTCCAATTTCGGCCTGGGCGCATTGGGACAGACTGTACTCAGTCAGCGGCCTTGCTATTGTCACACTGAAACCCCACCACCCTGATTTGAGCGAACGTTGCTGTACGGATTATATACTTAATGCCTGTTCCGGCAAGACACTGTCTCAGTGGTTGTGAAGGTGCTACTCATGATAGCCTTTTCAACCACCAAATATCTCCTCTTGCTTGCCAGTTGACTCGTTTTTGGTGGATATAGAAACTCGAAAGTAAGAGGTGTTCACCCACTAGAAGAATCACCACAAAACTGCCTAGCCATTCTTGACGTAATTGATACGGCAAATCAGCAGCAGAGATAGCTAGAATTTACAACAGTATAGCAAACAAATCATCTCGCAGAACTATTACGGCATTGAACAACGCTGTAAAATGGAGTTCTTCTAGAATGGCTCATCGCGCGGCTGATTACTTCTTCAGAGATTAACAACTGTGATTGTTCTTATTACCGGATGCAATACAAGCTGCATATTCTACAAAATCATAAACTGTAATCACTAAGTTCCACTCTCACATGCATTAGAAACGGATTCAGCACTTTAGAAGAGTCTGGATAAAACTGTGATCCCTAACCTTTCTATATGGTAACTAGCCACTATCGAAATGCGACGTCATATAACATAGCAAAGAATTGCTTCACAGAGTTCCGCCCGTTTAGACCGTATCATGCACTGCGAAACCCCTATTTATGTGTAGAGATCAGAAAGGCAGCCCTTCGATCAGCGAGGATGCTATCTTCAATTCTGTAGGCGTAGCCAGAACAAAAGCCAAACTCAAGAACATCAACCATTCTATGGCTACTCTACATCTCCCAGAAGAAGCGTTGAGACAAAAAGTAGGAAAGTGCTCCTTGTTCACCCGGACTTATCATTCCTGCTAATTTGAAGTCATTCTTGCCTTTTTCTCCCACCCCGTTCCATATCTAATCGTCTGTTTGTATTTCATTTTTGAGATTGTGCATCGTTTACGATGTATTTGATAAACAAATAAATAAATAAATAAATCTGAAAATACAGCTTGGAAAGCGCGGAAATGTTAAACACGAACTTCTTCAGCCGCTACTTTTGAATTTGAACGTATAAAAGCAGAGCGCACGAGGATTAAGAGATGCATAGTCGTCGAGGATCCCTTTAAGTTACCTGTAATGTTCGCATTGCACTTTGAAATCAATGAGCAGATAGAGCGATGGATCTTCATGCTATAACACGCAAGCCGACGCAAGTTGTCGCCAAGTACGGTAGCGGGGTTTGGAGACTGATATTTTAGTCACGAGTTACCAGCTGCGATTCGCTTGGCAGTATTCTAATTAGGCTTCAAAATCACTTTTTACGTGCAATGTGGACGTCTACTCTCGATGTGGCTTCTACTCTCGATGTGGCTTAATTATGATGATATGGTACCTCTTGTTTGGTGCCCCAGCAGGAGAGCAATTGATGTTCACTTCTTGTACTTTTGCATTCTCTCCAGCAAAGAAAGGCAGATGATCTTGGATCGAACTGAAAATTGAATCGTAGTCAGAAAGGCTTTCGATCTGAGTGTCAAAGTCGGCGCGGCTCGAATCCTAGCAAGCCCCCTCGCTTGGGTCCTCGCCGCATCCGCCCTCGGCAAATAAGGTGCATTGGTTTTCAGCCTGCTACAGGAGGAAATTGGGTAGCGTTTGCTTCGCAACCTGTTCGCGTCGTTTCGCTGCTACGTATAGTGGTAGATGATCGTGGTAGTAACCTATGTCTGCGTCTCTTCATTCCGCTTACTCTTCGCTTGGCAAATGCTCCTGTGCTGGAAGAGTACATGGAGGCATGCTCTGCATAGCTGGGAGCGCTGCCTCCACGTAAAATGTTTCGCCCAAACTCGGATGAAAAGTACTGTATTTTCCATGCTCGAAGCATAGAAAATACCATATTCTTAGGCATCAATGGCTGACGAGCTTTTAAAAATGCCCGGAAACACGTTTGCGATCCCGGCGAGGCGGCTCGCGAGAGCTACTTGACACACGAGCCGCGCCGACTGTGACACTCAGCTTAAGGCCCCTGTGCAAAAAATTTTTATCTGTAGGTCAATTGAGTTGCATCTATCATCTTCAATCACCAAAGCACGGTCACCAAAGGTTTTGATGTCAGGAGTAGTCGTTATATATATGTGTAATGTGGTTGTATGCTCGACTTACGGTGACGCCTGATATGTGCTTGTTTCTATACTTTTTGCTCCACTGTAAAGATGGCAACTCCTTCTCAAAAAGGGACTCTATTTCTTCAGTTTCCTTAGGTAATTTGGGGCTTACTGTGGTATAATTGAGGTTGGTGTTCCCCATGATATGCGAGGTTCCTCTACACACGTGAGCTCAACTCTGAAAAAGTTTGATAAGTATTTGTGCGACTCCTCTTGGAGGAACAGAAGTATTATAAAAAGCAATTACTTTTCGTAATATTGCCGTAGAGTATATGCAAGAACAAGCTGATAACCGGTTGAATCCTGCGCAGGCAATGAGACATATCAATTTATAATGAAAATGTGCTTGCAAGAACTCGATCGAAGGTTCCACACTAGTTGGAATAAGATCTGCACTGCAATCGACTTGAAACGGAGCTCACACATAGATATGTTGCACTATCAAACGAGGAAAGAGTGAGTAGCAGTAAGCGGCGCTATGACTGAGATATAGGGGCCTGCATGATCGCAAGAGTAGGACGTGCGTACGGCCATTGCGCCGCGCACGTCTGATGTTCTTCTCACGACTCAGGTAGGTGCCAGATTTACCCTGTTCAACAGGCTCATCAGGTTCACCCCTCTGCTATTGGTCAGTGCATTGATTTGGCTAATAGCGCATGAGTGAACCGGGCGAAGCGGTTGAACAGGACAAGTCTGGCACCTGCCTCAGTGATCGGACGTCATGCAGGCTCCGATAGAGGAGGTACAATCACCATGTATCCTTGCCTTTTGAAGTGATACATGGGTCATATCTTTGTCAAGGCAACGTGTTGTCACCGTGTGGCTCTTCTGCCACCAAACTTACCCGTCATTAGTCGACATACGGGCAGCTTCTTGGATGATAAATGATTTTACTGCAGCAGACATTGGTTCTTTTAGCTCCTCTTATCACTACATCTTCTGATATGAACTTGTTTTTACATGCACAAGCAAGGTTCAAATTCGTTCTTCAACGAAAACGGACGTTGATTTCCACTGTAAAATGGTTGTTGAATAAATCGCCATAATTTGCAAACAATGCGTCAAAGAAATTGTTGAAACCCAAAGCTGCAAGGAGGAAGAATACCTCAAGCGAAGAGTGAAACCAATAAAAATTCAAACAACTTATCGCTAAATTTCGATTAAAAGCAGATTTGTACTTCTTTGGAGGTCTTTTAAAGAGACAAGGTCTGAGCATCATTGATCACTTTGATGAGCAAAAAAAAACAATTTTCAAGTTCCGGTTTCTTTGAACCTAGGCATTGTGTATATTCTTCAGTTTCGCTGTGTCATACTGGTTTGTTGTGGGCAGGTTCAATCGCATCCGCGTAACTTTCGACGTTCCGTCGTCCTCAGAGGACTAGTGAAGTTATCGATGTTCCTCTAAAAAGAAGCACAAAATTGAGAGTCGCATACTTAATTCAACGCCTCGATTGTAGCGCATTATATATTGCAAAATTGGCAGAGCGCTTGAAGGCAGTGTCCGGACAAAATGGGGGTTTTGGGATTTCAGTGCCATGCGAAAGTGACCACCCTCAGACACAGCATCGCGCAAGTGCGAGGTTATAATGTTCGACCTAAAGCAAGAAGAATGGTAGGAAAGTGGGGAAACTTACGCCTCGGGGCGGGGTCCTCCGATCTGTTTGAGTTCCTGCTATGCGGCAGAGTACGCATGCCGCCACAGTTAAAATTGTACCGCATCAACTCTGCGTCCCTACCTTGGTGGGGACCGTCGAATTTCAAATCGTAAGGCTTTAAAAAAGGAAATTCTCGCCGTTTTGCGCATTCTAATGTAGATTCTCGGATCAGCATTGCATATAACCCCGGTAAGTGGACCCTCTAAAAAACGAGTTTTTGCCAACACTGCCTCAAATGTACGCCATCAAAGAACAACTTCCAAGAGAGAGACGAAAAAGCCTAGTAACCCCATCACACATAGATATGGCGCGTATGATGGAAATGATTTTGAACTTATGAGTTCCATTCTGACACATGAAGTTGAGATGAAAATGTATCAAAAGCTTTCTAGATTCTGGCAAAACTTCACAAAGGAATAACAAAATGAGTGTCTGTCTATCACTGCCGACTTCTTGCCGAATCGATATACTAGTTGTATATAGTACCTGGCCTTTTACTGTCTCATTTCTCCGCTTCATTTGCAAGTTCGGTTGCGGCGCTTCAGGTAACGGTGGTATGAGGGTAAGTTTATCTCTGATCGAACTTTTTGCGGAGCCAGCTCAGAGCCGAAACTATTATAGATGAACTGGAGGAGGAATTTGATGATATGTTTTGCAAACGTTGCTTTGAGTCATTTTAAGACCTCTGAGGACGATGAAAGCGTCGAAACGTTGGGGCAATTCGAATGAATCTACCACCACGACAACCTGTATGGCACAGCAAAATCGAAGAAAAAAAAAGAATCATGTCTGCGTGTGCATTCCATTGTACTAATTTTCTGGTGAATTTAGGTAAGATGAGTTTTGTCCACTTGGAGAAAAGGACATTTATAAGAGAAATTTTAGGCTCGCCTACTTCAAGGAAGAAACGGAGGTAACAGAGCGGGCGTTTGCTAGTAGGGAAAAAAGTCACGTGGGAACTATTGCTGAATCTTCAAGTTCACCTATTGAAAGCATCATTCATTGATGATTTGTACTAAAACATCCTTCACAGACACACTCTTTTGAACTTGTGCCACACTTCATGGATTTTCACACGGAAATTTTAGGCAGAAGATGAGGTATGTATCAGTAGCGTACCCAGGATCCGCTCGGGGAAGAGGGTGGAAGAAGGGGGGGGGGGGAGAGAGAAGAGACAAAAAAGTTCGAATAAAGGTGCGCAGGGTTAACCAAGCTTTCGAAAAAAATTTTGAATGCTTGCGAAAATTTCTGCAAGTCCATGGCTTCGAAGTAAAAAAGGGACGTGGAGGCAGCCACGCCCCGAGATAAATTTGTGCAAGGCTAAATTAAAGTTTCAAAGATTTTCAAAAATTATGGCAATTATTTACAAGTGCAAGCAAGTCATTTGCAAAACTCTATAACCCATGTATGTAACTTTAGAAAATCTCGCGACCCATTCTCTGGAGAGACCCTCCCCTCTTCCTCGTTACGCCACTGATATTTACCAGTAGCGCACCTAGGATTTCTGCTTGGTGGGGGGGGGGACAAGAAAATTTTTCGGAGGAAGGTGCGTGGCGTCAGCCACGCACTCCGAAATTTTTTTTGGAATGCTTCCCAAATTTTTGCGGCCCCCCAACCCCAATATTCTAGAAAAGGGGGCGTGGCGGCAGCCACGTCCCCAAAAAATTCTTTCTAAGGCTAATTTGGGTTTCGAAAAAGTTTTGAAAATTATTTTAATTGCTTACTAGGATGTTCCGGAAATTCTTTCCGATCAGCAGATTTTCTGTTTTTAATTATATAATTTATGCACTTGCCAATCTATTACATATTCTACAGTATGTGGCACCAACTGTATTCCGAGCTCTAATATCGACGTTCTCACTCATAAATGTGTTCTTCGCTGCGTCTTGGTTCTTATTGTTTCTTCAGCGGCATACCGCTTGACGTTGAAGCACATTCCGTAATTGGTGTCGACACTGAACAAACCCTTGGTCTTCACTACTCCCTGACCAAGGGTTTGTTCAGTGTCGGCTGGTGAAATGGGAGCAATCAGAAAACCGACCTGTCGCGGGAGATAAGGGAATGAAGCTCTGAAAGGCTACAACTTTTTCAAAATTGGCAGTTTTGTACAATTCAAATTTTGTGGATTAAGCGAGCTTTAAGCTATCACATAGACAATATAAACACTGAAAAAGGCAAGTGAGAGAAAGCGAAAATTTGGGAAACTAACAAAGCTTTCTCCAAGACATTCCCTTTCGACATAGTAAATGCCTATAAGAAAAGGCAGACAAATTTGATTGCCTTGCCATTATTAAGTAGCCTATAATCCAAAGATTGTAGTACTGTTAAAGAAAATTCATGTACTCTCTGCTGCGTAGGAATAAATATTAACTTCTAGAAAAAACCATTATTCTGTCTTTCTAATATTTGATTTTTATACATGTCGCAGACGAGATATTGCTTACTGACTGCAGGTCCCTTCTTGCTTTTGCAAAGTATGCAATATCAAACACATCACTTGTCTCTAAGTGTAGACTATTGCCGCCCATAGAATAGCTGTGGAAGGCTTTGATTAAGACAAGTTTAGGACGTGAAACATTTCTATCTGAGAATAAAAATGTGCATATGGCCTATTATACCCTCATCCACTAAAATTTCAATGGAGCAATCTTTGCATGTTGCTGGAATTCCTCTCAAAAAAAGAATCCCAGCACAATTGAAGATTACTCCATTTTTTCTCAAGCCAGACTTCATTTTGGGTTTCGTTCGAACGAGCTTCACTTAGGTCATACCTTTGATAGTCTAGAGATAGGACGTCACAAGTAAAAATTGTCGTATCTGCCCCCCATAAAAAGTGAAAGTTGTTTATAAGAAATCAAAGAAGAGAAAAAGATGCAAACAATTAGCAAAAACAGAAGAAGCTCTTGAAAACCTATTAAAACGCGGCAATCAGTTTGGAATTTTTCGCCTGGCGGCATTTCGCACTGCAGTTTTCGCTACTGGACCAGGCAATCCACAGCACGGGAAAAAACGAGAAAAAGCTAGTTTCTTCTTTGTGACTGTTTTCGAAACAAACATAATATTTTGGAAATGGTCATTACCAAAAAGAAGATAAAATAACATTCAGTTGTGGAAACGTAAATTTTTGTTTTTTTCCAAAGTCGAAATTCAGGCCAAAGACAACCTGGTCTTTGATGCGTCTTTTGATTTTTTAGCCCATTCTCGTAATTTCTGTTTCTGACGACGTTGTTAGCTTTGTGCTCATGATTCTGAGCAAAATGCCCCCATTCAAGTTACAAATAGTTGCTTACTAACTACAATAAAGGCCTCCAAAACGCACTTCTTGCAGCTCTGGGATAGATATTTCACCACAATCAAAGAAGTTAGACCCGCGACGTTGTCTAGATCATGAACGGTAGAAACATCTATGGAATGCAACAAAACCCACTTGAGAAGAGCTAAATTAAAGAAAAAACAAGGGATTTTCGAAAACACGGCTCTTGCTAGATTTCCTGTTCAAATCAGAACTGGAGCTCTGCGACGTTATCAGCGTGAAAGTAGCGATCAAGAGCTCTAATAGATATACATGGCTTATCAAACGCAGTGTCGCTTGCATCAGCATCTCGACTCCCGCGCTGAACTCTGCGTCTCTTCCGCAAATATGCTCTCTGATCACTTTCCCAGGACGAGCGTGGGAAAGGCGGAAGCCTCAATGGATTGGAAGTGATCAGAGAGCATGTGTAAGAGAAGCAGAGTCCAGCGCGGGAGTGGAGATGCTGATGCAAGCGACACTGCGTTCGACAAGCCCTGTCAATTCGCTAGGATTAAATTGAAAACAGCGAAGAAAAGGGTTACCAGAGCCAAACGCCCCGCGTTTGGGGTAGCGAAGTTGCGCGCAACGCGCGGAGACGCAGACAAGTAGCGGAGACAGACCAGAGACGACGGAGCATTTAGCTGGCTGCACGTCAGGAGGTACGGCAACCGCTCTTCCGCGCACGCCGCGTCCAAATCTTGGGACCCACAAAACTCCCCGCTGTTAGAGATTCCCGTCGGCCAAAACAGGGGGTGGGGATAGGGACAGATACAGTCTGCCCCAATCGGTATCAGGCCGAACCGTCGGCGTGGATTTACGCGCTCGCAGCGCTAGGCGTTTGCGCTGCATATGCGCGCTGGTGGAGAGAGCGAGGAGGTCGAAGAGGGAGCAGACAAGCAGGCCGTGGGCGTGACCGCGAAACCCTAACGACGCGGACTCCCGCCATGCCAATTTTGGCTTGTTTAGGATTGGGGCAGACTGTACATGACTCGAGACCATAAGTAACTTTGCACCAGGTGCGCTGCTGTTGTATTCGCTGAAGTATGTTGTGGCGTCGCTTCGCGAGAAATTCGCGCCAATCGTACCTCCTGACCGTCCCCCCATTTGGCTCTGGTCGTAGACCTCGGCCAAGTTTTAACGAAACTGTGCAATATTATAATATCGTTGTGATCCTCATGACACGAACAGGAGCACTGACAACGTCGCGGATGTTAAAAATCACTTCATAACGAATTAAATCAGCATTCGCGTGGCGACCCTCTACGCAAGTTTAAGCACAGTTCCTCCTTTTTATTGAACTCCAACAGCTTTCGTAATTCTAACGCTCAGCCGTAGTCTATAAAGAGGTTGATTGAGAATTGTCGTCCTGAATTTTAGAAGAATTGTCGAATAAAAACCTTCTTTTGAGCAGTAAAGTCTATGGAAACGCAATCTCTTTGTTTTCTGAATTTTTCTCAAATATCACTCATCTTACTTGCCTCATTCACACTCACCTCTATATCAGTGGCGTACCCAGGATTTCGGCTCGGGGGGGGGGCGCGGCAAAAAAATTTTTCTGATGAAGGTGCGTGGCGTCAGCCACGCACCCAGAAAAAATTTTTGGTACCATTCTTAAAATTTTCGCGGGCCCAGAACCCCAAAATTTTAGAAAAAGGGGGCGTGGCATCAGCCACGCCCACGAAAAAAATTTTTTATAAGGCTAAATTGAATTTTTAAAAAATTTTAAAAATTGTTTTAATTACTTACAAGTATAAATAAGTCTCTTGCACATTTTTATAACTCATGTAAGTAACTTTCAAAAATTTCGCGACCCATTCTCGGGGGGGGGGGGCGGGGGCGCGCGCCCCCCCCCGAAAATGGGTCGCGAAATTTTTGAAAGTTATGCTACGATATCCGGGGCCTCGCCCCGGAAAACTTTATCTTTTCTCCAGGTGATGGTTGTGTTCTATCATGACGCTCAAAGTGAAGGTTACCAGAGTGCATGGCTCCATGGACCAAAGGTATGTTTAGGTGGCCAAAAGCTGGAACGGAATTCGCTATTTCACTCGCGCCCCGCTCCCATCCCCACCCCCGAAAGAATTTTTTCGGACCGCCCAACAGGAGGCCATAGCAAATAAATCTTATATATAAAGCTGAATGTCTGTTTGTATGACTGTCTGTCTGTCTGTCTGTCTGTCTGTCTGTCTGTATGTATGTATGTATGTATGTGTGTACGTATGTTCCGAATAGAAAATTCCATTTCTGAACCGATCCGGACCAAACTTGGCACACATACACTTCGGGCCCCGGCGGGTGTCATAGGCTACTTTTCATCATCGATCGATATCGATTTTCGATTTTTTGCAAAATCTGAGCTACGGGGCTGGGAGTTGGCACACGGGGGTAATCGAGCATGCTGATTACGAATATAATAATGACAGGGCCGGGCGGAGCCGGGTAAGTCAACTAGTAGTAAATAAGAAAGTAAATATACACTGACTTTACCCCCGGAATGTCGGAAGCTAGAACCGCTCTTATTACCCTTCCCCCCCCCCTCCCCCCTCCGTACAAATGAAAATGAGCGAAACCCAATACATATCCCTCGGTACCTAGGGGTTATCGCCATTTGAGTTTCGGTTTTTCCTACTAGAACATCTAACACAAGAAGACAGAGTAGGAAAATGACTATTCCCAGATCAAAACACGAGATTAATTTTTTCACAAGCCATCTCACTGACAACATTGATAATCTCATTGGAAAACGCTTAGTTTGCAAAGTTGTCTTCGTTAAAGGCAGCCGATCAGCAGAATGGACCTCTGTCAGATTTTGGTAGTGTTATATATAGTCGTCCTCCCCCCACTAGACACTTAGAGCCGCATGCACTAACATCCCCGCGGGGAGCGTAGCGCAGCTCCAAAGAAAGCTTCATATTCTGAAGCTCCAGATATCTAGATTTCACGCTGTCTACCTGTCCGCAAGTATTCCTACTATCCTTCGCTATTAGCATATTAAACAGGAGCGAGAAGCTGTACAAGCCGTATTTTCCAGCTTTTGTATGATCCCTGACGATCCCCGCCGCTTTTCTTCAAAGTCATTTTTCTTTCTTTGGAATTAACGAAAACCTTCCAAAGTTGTACTGAACATCTAGCACAGCAGTGCTAAGCATGTTACTGATGAGAACAAATGAGTTTTGGAAAAATCGAATTTTTCAACAAACCACAGCTTTCGACTTGTGGTTCATCGCAAATTTCATGACTCCGATACATCACTTGTTCTTATTAGCAACATGCTAAGCAGTGTTGGGTTAGATAAACTGCACAACTTTGGAAACTTTTCGTTAACTTTGGAGAAAGAAAAATGACTTCAAAGAAAAGCGCCGGGGATCATCGGGGATCACGCAAATGCTGGAAACTGCGGCTTGTACAGTTTCTCGCTGCTGTTCAATGTGTTCATATACAGAACGTAAAATTCAGATATCTGGAGCTTCAGGATATGAAGCTTTTTTTTAAGCTGCGATCTCCTCCCCGCGGGGATGTTAGTGCATGCCGCCCTTAGTGGACGAATTTGAATTCGAACTAGAGCACGCCGGCTGCGGCAGAGCGCGACACCGTCAAATGCATTTTAAGCTAGTGCGGTATTCTTTTGTGTTATCGTCGACACATTGTGATTTTTTATGTTCTAATGATGGTTGTAATCAGAAGTGAAGAGTTTATTGTTGCTTAGCGATATTTCGTACTACTATGCCCGTTTCTTTACTCTGTTTTCAGGTGAGGAAAAAAGGATGCGCATGGGGAGTTCTTGACCCGAAGTTCAATGAAGCAAGACTAAGTTCAAGACTTACCGAGAAAATTCCACCAATTTTCAAACTTAGTCGTTTTCCAAAATCAACTTGGAATCGTAGTCAAAGAAACGAGCTTGGTAGCACGATTCATCGCTTGAACAAAAGCAACAACTTCAACACCAACTGAGAAAACTGCTAGCGTTCAAAAATCAGTTAAAACATAGGGGAAACACGGAAAAATTTGTTTAAGATTGAAGTACGAGCTGCTGGTGCCGCGCTCTGCCACAACCGGCGTGCTCTAGCTCAAATTCGAATTTGTCCACTAGGTGTCTAGTGGTGGGAGGACGACTATAGGTAGTGGGCCCCCGAATACACCGTATCCCAACTCCACCTCCATTTCATGCGCTAAATCCTGAAAAACCGCTTCAAAACTCCACCAATGACGCCCACTCAATGGAAGTGGACGGCGCTGGTGGAGTTTTGAATCTCCTTTACAGAACTTAGAGCATAAAATGGAGGGTGAGATTGAGGCTACGGTGTATTCGAGGGGTCTACAGGTACGGGTCAGGAGTCACGATTTCTCGCGAAGCGACGCCGCAACGCGACGTCAAGCAGTACAGGCCCCAGCTCCCGTCAGTACTCCTGTAGCAATGTTACTTATGGCATCGAGTCATGTATCTGCCGACCCCCCCCCTTCTCCTCCTGATCCGGAGCCGGGGGAAAAGGGGTGCAGAGGTTAGTTTTCGCGCTCGATTGCAGCCTGAATACTCAGACAACGCTTTGTACGCAGCCAATTTTTAGTTGGATTCGATCTCGCTACGCTGCGCTTATGCTTTCAAAGCTTTGTGTTTCCAAGTTTGATAAGTTAGCATATGGAAGTTTTGAGCAATTTCAATTGTGGTCTTTCAGGCTTCACTGAGGATGAACTTGGTAGTGCGTTCGTGGAGCTGACCAACTTCGACAGGTCGAAACTGAAGTCGGTTTGATTCTGGCTTTTTCTCTAAACATTTTGGAATAATCTGAAAACCTTTTTTGCATACTTGGCTTTCTATTCACTAACAATTGAGAAGGAACTATCTTCTTCTAAAATTGCGCTTTATCACTATGTGCATTTGCTTTGCGAGACATTTTAAGCGCAGTGCTCGTATACTTTCAAGATTAGTACGAGTACTGTTGAGATTTTGAGAGAACTGTGCTGAAGAGGTTGCATTTTCCAAGAAATTAGCTGTTACCTTTTCAAAATCCTGCATGAATAAGCTATATTTAGTATTGCAGCCGCAGTAGTCCTTCATATCTGAATTGGAGGCTAGTTTAGGAAGCATGCATGGCCGAGCAACAATGTATGCATTCATTCGTTCGACCGTGCTAAGTCAGTCCTTTGAGGGTTGTATACAAGTTGTCCCAAAATTATGTGCTTTAATCGTTGATATCCCTTTTTCCAAGAAGTCTTGCTTACCTTTTGATACCATTTTCTAAGCGCTGCAAAATTTATTATAGTATGAAGCGAATCACCGATCGCACTCCGTTACTGGAGGATGACGGTAGGAACTTCTAGGTTTCTGATCCAATAAAGACCTTACGTCTCAGAAAGAAGATTAAACAATCTGCAAACTCGTACATTAGACTAATTAGACTAACTGCTATAACTGAGTGCGAACTTCACACTTTACCGCAGTGCATCCTTCATAAGTTACGCCGCGTAAACCTTGGTAACTGTTCTTACAATGCCTCCTAAGATTGTATTTACACTATGAAAAAGCGCTACAAACCGTTAAAAGCCTGTATACATTTGTTTTTCCATCATCTTTTTTGAGGTGCTTGATAACGCTGAGAGCAAACTAGGGGCGTTCAAAAACGTTTGAATGTGTATCAGTACTATTGTGGAAAAGAATAAATGCCACGTATTATGGTCTTGTTATTGTTGTGAGCCTCTTCAGAGATGCACACTTTCGACAACGACACAACACGGAATAATTCTGCCGTGGTGTCTCGCCCTCGTCAAAGCAAATGGCCAGCAATTTCCATGGACGATGCACTCGCATTCATCGAAAAAGCTGACGTGCCTGTGACCGTGAAGCACGTTCCAATCGCGGTAGCTAAAGTTGGTGAGTCTTTTAACATACATCAGAGTCCACCTCTAGTAGAAAACGATTTCCGATACACTACAAATCTGAATTTTGCAAAAAAAATCCTTTTGTCATCTTTCTTCCATTTTTGAAACTTACTTAAGTGCTCGAAAAAAGAGCCTTTCAGTGTTAACTAGATGTATTACGATTGCCTATGCGTATCATTTTCATTAAGGTCAGGTTTTGGCTGAACGCATCGTTGCTAAAGAAAATGTGCCGGAAGTTCGGACATCGATCAAGGACGGCTATGCCGTACTTGGTAAGTTCGTAGACTTTCTCTCGTTATATATTGAAAGTTAGGGGGTATGAAAGTAGGTACATCGATTGTTAGTCACTATGGGAAATCCGAAATTTTTGTTCACTTTTTGAACTCAGAAAATGTGATGTTATCCTAGGAAATGCTGGACTGCTTCAGCACTGCATTCTTTTTTGAAAATTTGTTGAAAGTGCACAATCTTTTCTTTTGAGCGAGTGATCCACCCGGAGAACGGAAAGTTATTGGCATATCAACTGCTGGCGCCCCATTTATGGGCACTGTCACCGCGGGAGAATGTGTTCGGATTAGCACTGGAGCTGCTGTTCCGGAAGGAGCGGACGCCGTGGCAATGGTGGAGAACACCACTCTCGTCAAGCATGATGTAAGTTTGATTTTGCATGAAATTACTCTATGTACGTTTGCAGATTGACTTTTTCCTATTTCGTATACGATTTATCCTTTAATCCAGTCAAGCGTTTTAGGGCGTTGAAGAACTTGTCATTAAAGTAAACACGGCATTGAAGTCCGGTCAAGATATCAGGCAAGGCGTTTGTTGAGTATACGATTTGCTTTCAAATGTGCCTATATGTTCAGAATGCCAGGAAGTGACGTCAAGAAAGGCGATTTATTATTGGATAAGGGATGTGTGCTTGGATCGGCGGAAATTGGCATTTTGGCTGGAAGCGGCAGACGTTCCGTTCTGATGTATAAAAGATCGAAAGTTTGCGTTATGTCGACGGGAAATGAGGTTGGTTAGTGAGATCTCTAGTAATGAGTCTGGCACCTTGCTCAATATTTCGCGTTGTTATCGTTTTGAGTCTCCGCTAGTTCTAGTTCTACTCGTTTTTCAGCTAGCGGAATGCACTGCTGAAGAGGTTCCTCTCGGCCACATTCGCGACACCAATCGCCCGCAATTGATTGCGCTGTTTACTTCGCATGGAATCAAAGCCATTGATGCTGGCATTGCTGTTGATAGGTGTCGTATTGAGTGTTCGAATCGAGATCATATGATTAGACTTTTTTTGCAGGAGGGAGTGCCTTATGGAGGCTATTCGTGTTTCATTCCAATATGCACACGTCATTGTCACTTCTGGAGGTGTTAGCATGGGCGAAAAAGATTTGTTGAAGGATGTACTTGTGAATGATTTTGGTTTTGAGGTAAGTGGGATTTGTTTTCAATAAGATGCTATTGGTAAGCGGGTTATTAGTCTTCACTTGCAACTTTTTCCATCTGCATGTTTAGATTCATTTTGGAAGAGTTTGGATGAAACCTGGTCTTCCAACAACATTTGCTACAGGTGAAATATGTGGAGATAGAAAGTTTGTGCTAGCTCTACCAGGTAAGTTCATATTGATTTCCCATGAGGCACATTTTTCCACGAACGTTTAGGAAATCCGGTTTCAAGTTGGGTGGCAGCTCAGTTGTTTGCAGTCCCACTCTTAAAGAAAGCAGCTGGACATACCAAAATTTTCCAGCAGGAGATCAAAGTGAAGGTGCTTCAGTTTAGCATTGTCATGGCCTCCTAGTATTGATGATGTTTGTCTCAGCTTGGGGAATACATAAAACTGGACGCTCGACCTGAATATATGAGAGCGTGGCTGCAGTATGAGAGTGATATGCCCACTGCGATTACAACAGGAAATCAGATATCTTCCAGGTGAGTAAGAGATCTCCTTTCTTCTCTAAGATCAATTTAGATGGTAGCGGAGTTCGATTTTTTTAGATTGATGAGTCTATCCGGCGCTAACGTTTTGCTGAAAATTCCGTCTAAGACAGATGAGCGTACAAACCTCCCAGCTGGAACGATCGTCAGCGCACTTTGGCTTGGAAAAGTATAGTATTTTTTGTTTGATTCACAGTTTTAGATGCTTTTTACGTGTGTCAGGTATCTCTAGTATGGCATATTATACAAGTTCATAATGGTAGCATTATCATGTCATTTCATAATTTTCATGCCATTTTAGAATTTTTAGTATTGTGTCGTGTTACTGATACCTCTTCTCAATTTGCCCACCAGATGACTTCATTTTGCCTCAGATTTTTATATTCACTTGCCATTTTTCATGCTAAGCTCAAAATTCTCTTTTTTTTTTCTCGTTGCCTTTCGTTACATTTAGCAGTCTTTTATCTGAATAATATTCTTATTTTTACTTTCGTTCGCTGTGAATTCTGTTACACTTTGTGATTTTGATACTAGCCATATTTGTATTCTGATTCGGTGAAATCCCTGAACACTGTGATTAAAAAGTATGACCTTGTTTATTGCTTTTTATTCGAATGTAAATGTCATTGTATACTTGGATCACATCCTGTGGATATAGATAGTATATTTCTTGCTATAGGAAAAGAGGTTAGTTGAAATGGCTACTGAGGCGTTGAACAAGGACATCGAGCGTGTTCAGGAGAAGTTGCGCGAATTGGAAGGATCAATAGCGAATCTTAGGCCAAGTCGCAGAGAATATGAGGGGTGGGTTTTGTTCGGATATCAAACTTACTTTTTAGTTAATCTACATTTTCAATGTCCATCTTATGCTATTACAGGGGTGGTCCGGGTCTCAAACGTCGCATTTCCCACGAGGGGTTCGGTAATGATCGTTATTCGAACGGGAGGTTAGTACATCTCACTCATCCCAGCGCACAAACTTTTCATTTTTGTTTTCGTAATGTGCTTTCTTCCAGTGGTCGTGTGACAGTAGTGAGCGATGCATCGCCAATGGGCTTCGGTAGACGAAGAATTGAGTAAGTATTACATCATTATGTTGTGTTTACGTTCACGCACCGAAACTGTCAGTACGGTGTGAAAAGAGTTCCAAGAGTTGTAAGCTTTGAACTTTTCTGTTTCATTCTAGAAAAATTACATCCAGCCCAGAGGCAAAGCATATTTATGCCCGGTCCAGAGTTAAATCTTCTATCATCAAGCACATCCTTGTTTATTAATGAATGCACGCCATGTATTCATGAATTCTGCGATGTAGAACCACATTTAAATGTATGCATTTCAGAATGGTGCGCAGCGATGAACGCCCAGGCAAGCGGCAACGTTTGGATTACGACGATATGGAAGACGAAGATGATCGTGATATCCGTCCAAAAAGGTAACATCTTGATATTGAATTCCACGTTAAACTGCTTCTCATTTGCTTTATGCATTCGATTCAGGACATTAGCATCAACAGTAGTCATGCCATCTATCGAAACGAAGAGCCGCGAGGAGAAAATCGAGGAAATGAATAAAAATGAAAAGAAAGAAGTTACCACAAGGTATGTTCCCATAACTATGTCTGAATTATCTTGCTCGAAGTTTTCTTTTTTGCTTTGGTGCCGTAATTTTGTCCATTGATTTGTTTCGAATATGGGGCTTTTTTTTTCAAACAATTTCATTTTTTATACAGAAACCGTCGTATGTTCTCGAACCTCCTCATGGGCACGCTCACTCGTTTTCAGAAAGACGAGAAAAAGATACAAAATGTAGAGAAGATTCAAGTAAGTGGTTTTTGGTAGCCATCTTTCTTCTTTCAAACCGACATTTGCTTCTTAGGCAGACAAGTACAAAGAAGTTGAGAAGCGGCTCGAAGACAAGAAGCGCGAAGACCGCGAAAAGGTACTCTATTTAAGACTTGGGCGTCATATCTGTTGTGCATTCGTGTTCTTATAAGCACTCCATTTGTCAGATTATGGCTGAACGTCAAAAATTATTCGATGAGCGTCGTGAACAGGAAAAAGAGTTGCGCGCACTGCAGCGTAAAAAGGCACTTATTCAATATGTGAGTGGTACTTGGTCTATATTTGCCTCTCCATGAAATTGCATTGCATTTTGCAGGCAGAAGCAAAGAAGGAGCATTACAAGCTGCTGCGCAACTTTATCCAGACACAAACAAAACCTACATTATTCTTTGCGCCAGCAAAACATTCGATGCGCTCGCTCGAACTGCTAAAAGCTTCCGAAAAGGCCATTGATGGTATGTTCAGTGTTTTTTCCTCTATCTATTTTATACCGATTTCCTTACGGAAGGATTTCAAATAGACATATTATAGTTAACTTTCTCTTCGTTTGATCAAAGCTTCTTCCAAAAAGTTTAAGTCTTATAGTATCAATGATATGTTATATAGGACGTAATTTTACTCTTCTTTGACGCCAGCTTATGACTGTTCTGTACACGGAATTACAGGTCTTATGGAACTGCGGCAGAAAGAGCTTGAGCGTGAGCTGGAGAACAATGTTGACGATGAACATCACGAGCAAAACACCGCCGAATCCAACGATACGGAGGCTGGCAATTCCAAAGAAGCCACAGTATCGATTAGGAGGAATCGTGATCGCAGCTATTCACGTAGCGGCGACGAGGACGATCGTGAAAAGAGTCCAGAACAGCCGGAAGCCAAAGAAACGAGCGCCGCACATGAGGAGGTGCACGAGAACAACGACGTGGACGAAGCCATGGGCGAAGAGGAGAGAATCCAGCCAGACGAGGAGCCAATGGAGAAGGACGATTAGGTAATAGGGTGAGTTCTAGTATTCAGTCGTTTCGACAGATATCTTTCTTCGTCGTTCTGGGTACTCGCTGGGAGCAGTCGCGGTATTACCGCGTGATCTCAGCCACTTTTTCCACATGCTTCCAAAAATTTTTGCTATTTTCATAACGTCTTTTGCGCGCTTTTGATCATTACCATCACTGGTCTAAATTGAATCTAAACAACATATGTTTTGCTGTATATGAAGAATAGAGCATTTTGCGCGTTCGAATTGAATGAAGTCATTGTGTATGAGATTTCGTTTTTTTTTTGAAGAAGTTCTTCCTTTTGTATAGCCCCATATAAATGTTTTGTTTACAATGCCACTATGTTGGTTGTTATTATTCGTTGGTCCCTGCAGTTTGTTCGTTTATATATATAGAGGGCCTTTACAATAAATATTTAAGTTCATGTGGCGCAAATTTGACAAAGATTATCGTACATGTTGCGTGACTTTGAGCGACAAAGTTGCAAAAGATCAACAAAAAGGACTATAGATTTACGGTTTGAGTCAAGATTGATTGATATGTTCCGCGTCCATCTACAAGGCAAATGTTATGCATGTAATCAAACGGATTCGCACATAAGCATGAGGAGTATGAAGAGGAAATAAATTAGTAAACAATCGCGATTGTAAAGCTAACGTTCATGTCAATACATGCACTGTGTAGATTCATAGGACGGTTGCTGTCATAAATCTCATTTGCTTAGCAGCGAAAAGCAAACGTCATGAGTATATGTAGGGCGTCCAAAAAAATGTGCGTACTGTTTGATTGTTAATAACACTTTTGTAATGAAGTCTTTCGAAACTTTATGTTCATTTTGTAGAGCTGGCTTCATCTTAGATTTACGGTATGGAGCGGATTACCGACTGCTCCCTGTTGTTATAGGATTATGGTAGAAATTTTGAAGAGGATTTTGAGCCATGAATGGCCATATTTTGCCTCAAAAAGAAAACAGAACTTCTGAAAACTCTTACCTTGAGCGAATTAGAGTTGCTGATTCTAAGTGTGAAGTTCGCAACTCAACATAATGCTTCAGTAAAAAGCGTTCATGAAAAGTGCGGTCACACCGTTTAAAAAGCTTCGCAATCTTGTACATAGTTGAGTTTTGAGCTTTTTTCACAGTGACACCACGTGCTTGAAGTTTCTACCGTAATCCTACAGTAACAAAGAACGATCGATGGTTCGTTCCATACTGTGAATCTGAGTTGAAGCCAGCTCTACAAAACGGTACCTAATCTTCGAAAGACATCATTACAAGATAATTATTAGCAGTCAAATAGTAGGCATATTTTTTAAACACCCTGTAATTGTGTAGTTTGTATGTAATTGGAGTTTACCCAAAGTTTGAACTTTCAAGATTTCAAAGTTTGATCCACTCGTCTTCTCAAACCTTGTTTCGCTTGTTCAGTAAGTTCGTGTATGCGGGATTTTTTTTTTGTTTTCCGAATCAGTCTGTAATATTAGCCATTGGTAGAAGTATTTGTCGAAGGAACCGCTGCGGAAGTTTTCACTACCATATGCAAACCGCCTCGATCTACAGTATGCCACAAGACCCTACAGTAAACGTTTTCGTGATTGGGTAGAGCATTATACTAACGCTGTGTAAACAAGTGAAAGTGATTCTACTGTGCAGAAATGGTTATTGGTGATAATTGTGCGCGGAAGCGGATGCTATCAGAGTTGTAATGTTCCTTTTCTCTATTTGTTTGTAACTCAGAAGGCTTCCTGATCGTCTTGCAACATCGGAGATACGATTTTTATCTGTAGAAGTTAGCAAATAGGGATTTTAAAATCTTTATTGGTCGCATCATATATGCAATACAAATCATATTCTTCCTCTTTCAAAAAACATCTTCAAGCTCATTTAATGTTGACTAGAATTATTTGAGGAAGTGTTGTTGTGTAAAGTACTTTGCATACCCTTAATTTCGAGAGGAAATCAGTACATTTCACTTCTAGCAGTGAAATGTGAAGGAAAATAGTTTGTAAAGGCCATTTGTCACTACGAAAGTTCAAATTCCTGGTATAGGAACGACCGCCAACAAACGACGCCTCTACGGATTACTGGTCCTCGCACGGTAAAGGATATTCGTCGACGATAGCCCCGACTCGTGCAGTTACACTACCTTGGGCATGTCTTATTGGAGGCCTTTCCAGCTTGACAGTACGCTGCAGCGCACGGGGACACTTGGTAGCTTGCAGCATTTCTGTCCTTTCCCTGTCCTGTCCTACTGTCAAGCTGGAAAGGCTCCACAAAAGCACGCTCATGGTGGTGTAATTGCACTATTTGGAGCAGTCGTCGACGAATATTCTTTATACATTAGCATGTGTGAGTGGATTAGTGACCTGCGGAGGCATCGCCTAAGCGCGATAGTCGTTCCTTCCGGGACTCTTTGCATGGAAGTTTTCTTTCTTGAATTTTACTCTCGAAATTAAGGCTTTGAATCACTTTGATTATAAATATTCAAGAGGCTGGTCAGATCCTTTCCTATACCCGAATATGTCCAGTATGTGAGATCCTATGTTCAGTAGATCATCAAATCATAGTATGAGGTGGAGGAGCATGATTGTTGATAGAGGAAACGAGAGGAGTATGTTCGCCGCCACCACCGCCATGTCGTCGTGGTCCATTGCTTCGATGATGGATTTGTGGATGTTGCTTTATCTGATCTACAGAAAGTGCACCTCTCCTCTTTTTTGGCATTTTTGATCGTGCTTGCGTATGCGAATAGAACATGGCAAAATTGGAGACAATAACCTGTAATAGGAGATTGAATAGTTCTTGACAATAAAAAAATCTGAAGAAACTAAGGTACTTACTGGTACTGGCAGAGCTATCGTAAGCACACCAGTGAGAGCACAAATTGAACCAATCAACCTTCCAAGATATGTGTGAGGAGTAATATCACCGTAACCAATGGTAGTCATGGTGACTATCTACAAAAAAAGGTATTCAGAAAATATCTCACATTTCATGAGCATTGAGCGTGCCATAGTGGAGAAAGTTTGAGCGAAATAACCCACTAAAGTCGTGATTGGCTACTGTGAGCAGGGGGCGGGGCCAACCAATCACAATCATGCGTCAGTTTTTTTTTTATAAAACAGCATTGTTGTGTGGTATGCCATATTAAGCAAGTCATAAGGAGGGTAATTCAAGCGATAACTCGCTAAAGCTTTGATTGCTTGTTCCGACCTATTGGACGTGGCCAACCAATCAAAACAATGGCGTCAGTTTTTTTGTGAACAGCGCTCCGATGCTGAGTCGTACTCTGCGGGTAAGATGCGCGTCGTAAGGAAGAAGATCGAGCGAAATGATTCGCGAAAGCTGTAAGTGGTTGTTTCGAGCTAGGGCGTTGCCAACTAATCACAACGTTGGCGCCAACTTTCTTCGTAGAAAACAATATCGTGGTATGTATGGCACACTTTGTGGACATTAAGTATGTCCCAGGAAGAAAACATTGGCGAGGTAAGCCCCAAAAGCTGTGATTGGTCGTTCCGAGCCAATGGGCGTGGCCGACCAATCACAGCTATGCTGTCGCTTTTTCTTCGAAAGACAACATTGTGCGAGTGTGGTATGAATGCCATAGAAGCGATAATATTACTCACTGCCCACCACAATCCAATCGGTATGCTTTGAAACTGGTTGTCAGGATTTGGCTCCACTCGTTCTGCATAATATACCAATGATGCGAATACGACGACACCCAAAACGAGGAAAAATACAAGAAGCATAAGCTCTTTTGCAGAAGCTCTGAAAATAGCAAAAATGATTTTTTGTGATATGAAAAGGTCAGAAGTACCGTAACCCACGCTAATGAGATTGTTTTTCCTACCTGAATGTGTGCATAAGAATTTTTAACCCGCTATTATGATGAGTGAGCTTGAATAATCGCATAATTCTAATAATCGAGAAGAATTCGAGATCCGCTGAGGCACCAAAAGTATTAAATAATACATCCATATAAAATGTAACCGTAGCAACAATATCTATCAAATTTACTGGAGCCTGAAATTGAAAAATTGGGTGCATTTCGAATGCAAATATGATGAATTTACCTTCAAGTACTCCATGCGGGACGGGCAACATGTGAATCGTATCAATATTTCAATTGTAAACCATATATTGCATAATGTTTCTACCATCTGAAAATCATTTCAATGATATGCAGTCTTTTCAACGCTTATTTTATCCAACAAACAACGTATGGTTTATAGTACGATACTGCGCAACAAATCGATCAATAGTAGGCGGAGTTGGCGTCAACCAATCAGCGCTGACTCCGCCCACCTCTGTTGATTCGCTGACCGGTAATAGCACTCGTTTTCGCATGAGAAAAACGATTGTTTCTCAAACGAGTACAACTGAAAATAACAAAAAAACGTACCATAAAGCCCGGATGAGCTTTAGAATTGGTTTTATCCACGGTAAGTCCAGCTGGCCTGTACTTAAAGTGACTGGCTGACCGTGCTTCTCGTGATAGGTTACCCATTGGCGAGATTTCCGATATACGTAGACCCGGATGAGTTTTCAAACAAAATACCAATATTGCAGTGATTAGAAAGAATACGGAAATTATTGCAATGACCTGAAAAGTTGACATTGTGTGGATTACTGCTGTCGCGACACGCGAGCGACTTTTTCTCGGCATGCGCACGTTTCATATTGACAGAGTTTGTATTTCTTCGTGAGAGTTGCCAATAAAGTAAATTCTTTGTATAATCTTGCGATAATAGTTATGCAAACAAGGATTTTTTTTTTACAAAATCGCGTTGCAGTATGTCGCAGTGAAAATAAGCGTGAAATTGTGCAGAATTCGTGCACAAGTCGCGAAGATATTCCAATGTTTTCTAGTTATTACTTACCTTAGCCGCTTTAGACGAGCCCGGTTCATCAAATAGTCGCCATATTTTCGGTTTCAACCTTTGCCAGCTGCTCAAGCTGTCATTATGATAATCATCTTCCCAACCAAATCGCTGATAAAGCTCCTAAAAATTAAGGTTTGAAAGTTTTTGCCAAAGAAGTTATAAATAGACAAAGTGTTTACCGGTCCATCAGCATTATCAACTTCGATATCCAGCTCATCCAGCGTTTTCAACACTTCTTGGGTGTCTCGCGTCCCTGATAACGTCATCCAACAACAAGGTTCGCATTCATTCGAGTCTAGGCCCCAGTACTGCAATGAAGTTGTTATGTTATTGTAACGTTTCAAACGACTGATATAAATAACTTTGTATTTCGAAAATAAATTGCGTTAAATAAACTGCATTTGAACTGAGCATCACTCTGATTTTCGCTGGATTGTGCACAAGGATATTTGGGGTAGCTGTGCATACGGATTTTTCAAAATTTATCTCTTTCTACGTAGAAGGTACCGGAAAAAAGCAGAGAAAGAACAGCCTAACGAGATTTATGGATTGAATTGGTTTCGATCAGGCCGTTTTTTTCCTTTCAAAGAGTGAGAAACCCTTTGTATAGTATCTTGTTGAATTACTACCTGACAATAATTCAATTATAGCAAAATATGCTTAGTTGAGGTGTAACTTTGAAAGTTTACTTTGAGCAATTTCGTCTCCAGATACAGAAAGTCCGACCACCTTGAAACGAAGCGAGAAGTGAAAAAGAGTTTGGCGAATGTTTTAGGACATGTAACGGTAAATTAGGCAAGGCATTGCCATTTCTGGACACCTTCCCCTCATTTGGCCTTACATATGTCTTATACTAAAAAAGTATAAAAGGATCAGGTCTATCGAAACTATTGGACCCTCATTATCTCAGTATAATGTGTTGCAAAAGTTCTCAAACTTTCTCGTATTGTACCGTTTGTGATGTATTCATGAAAGGAATATTTATTATATATTAAAGAGCAAATTTGGAGCAGAATCAAAAAATTGGAAAAAACCGAAAATAACGGTTATTCATAGAGAGAATCACTAAGGCCCGTATGCACGTACATCCCCGCGGGGAGGGGAGGGGATCTGAGAGGGGAAGAGCCATATCTCTCTGCTTTAGATATCTTTCTTCTTTCTTCTCTATCGTGCTCATGAGAGTTCGCATACCCTTATATCTGCGCATAATAGATACCAGGTTACTGCTATACAAGATTAAATATTCACTATTTCGTCTGATCCCCTGGGGATCCCCAGGGGATCACCTCACATTTTCAAAGTTATTTATCTTTCTGAAAACTCGATGAAAATGTTCTAAAATTGTACTGAAGATATACTACGATACTGCTGAGCATGTTTTCAACAGAAGAAATTGAATCTGAAGATTTTGATTTTTTCGATAATCCCTGGCTCGCGAGCAGCGGTTCATCGAGGATTTTGATATCTTGAGATTTCACTCATTTCTACCATAAATATGTTTAGCAGTGCTGTAGTATATCCACAGTACAATTTTAGAGCATTTTCATCCGGTTTTCAGAAAGATAAATGACTTTGAAAATGTGAGGTGATCCCCTGGGGATCCCCAGGGGATCAGACGAAATAGTGAATATCTAATCTTGTGTGGCAGTAACCTGGCATCCGTTATGCGCAAGTATCAGTGTATGAGAACCTTCAAAACCAAGACAGAGAAAGAAGAAGAAAGATACGTAGATTAGCGAGATATGACGCTTCCCCTCTCAGATCCCCTCCCCTCCCCGCGGGGATGTACGTGCATACGGGCCTAAGAACTTTCCTCATTTAAAAAGGGTAGATCATGAAGCAAAAACCATCAAAAGAATTTCGGGTCTGTTCCCAGGATCTAGCTTTCTACAGAAGTTTGAGCTTGATTGTTTTTATCTTTAGGTTATATTAGGTTGTACCGGAAGTTTGTTTGCACCATTTTCAAAAAAATCGTAACTTCTTTCTTTTATTAGGATCTTGCATGACAAAAATAGTGTTAGGAAGTGCAAAGCGTATATTTTTTAAGGACCCTTGCTTGCTCTATACTAAGCTTCGGTTGCAGGGATAGAATTGGGAGATAGAAATCACTTCAATTCCGGAATTTTGAAGCTAACCCGTTAAAAATTCCAAAACCTTGCCATAAAATAGGAAACAGGCTGTAACCTAGATTATGTGACCCCTCTTTCTACTGGAGCAAATCTGTGCTGTAAAAACCCAATGATTATATCCCTATATTACGCAAAGTTGTCATATTCGCCTTCTCACAGATTGTGTTAGCAGGTTTCAAATTTCATTATGTACAATAGAAGCACTTATCGGTATAGTACAACATCTTCCGATCCCTGACTGCTCTGTACTTTTTTCTATAGAACATGAGTGTACCCCCACTCTTCTTGGCTGTTATCATAGACATCTCACTACGCGCGAGTACGTTAGGTGGTCTCAAATTTCATTAGTGTAACCGTCAGAAATTTCGCATGGCGTGATCTTGATGCGTCTGTGAATGCAGTGTACAGTAGAAAGTCGAGGGTCATTTCCATTTTTTGTGAGAATATGAGAACTACGGTTCATTTTTTTAATAGAGAAATCAGGCTGGCAGGTGTGGCGTCTAGTATTCAAAGGTTATAAAGTAGTGCACCTGAATCATATTAAATCTGAATAAGCTTGACTGAACTGATACTTAATGCCCAAGGGAAAGTTGAGAGAGGGAGGGAGGGGGGGGGGGGGGAGGGTGGTCGAGTGTATAGCAAATTCCGAAGAGAAGTCGCTCCTCCGGGATCTGAGTGAAATATACAAGACTATCAAAAATTTCTTGCTTATCTTGCAATTCAGTAGAGCGCACAATTTTCTTGGTAAAGTGTAAAAAAATCAGTAAAGGTCTAAAAAAGTTTTTACGGGGGGGGGGAGGGCGGGACAAATTCTTGTCCAGTAATGAAGCATTAGCCAAGCCCTTCGTAAAAACCTTTGGGGATCCCCCACAAGTTAATCGCTGGCTCAAATTCAAATTCTTCAAATATAGGGCGAGACATCTGCCACTCAACGAACAAAATTCTTCTACAGTGAATTTTTAGAAATTTCAAAAATCAATTCCAATTATTTACAAGTCAAAAACAAGTCACTCGCGCTATCTTATAACTCATGTAATGTACTGCCTGAAAATTTGTAACTTGTTCTCGAGAAGGAGGAGGGGAGGGAACCTGGAACCACGATCGGAGGATATACGGTTACAAAAGAGTTTTTTTTACAGATTTGAACCAGCTACGTTAGATTTCCAACAAAGGCAATTTTCCTACTAGGGGGTCAGGTAAACAACTTAGCATGACATTCAAGCTGTCTTTTTTGAATAAAAATATGAAAGTTCTCAATTGAACGAGATTACCTTCGGTATCTTGTTATTCATATATCTCCCCACTTGACCGCGAAATTTTAGAAAATTGCCTATGTCTTAAAATTGTACAAGTAACTTGTTTTTACTTTCAAAAAATTTCGAAAATTCAAATCAACCTTTGAAAAAAATTCTTCCAGTTCATATTAATTGAAATAGAGAATAAATTCTATTATGCACTCTTGGCGAGATGGGAGGAGGGGGAGGAGAGAAGAGAAGGAGAAGAAAAAAATTGGGATCAAGCACGCCACTTGTTCATTACCCTTTTGAAAATATCACAAGATTATATTCAAAAACCGGAATTTTGAAAAATTGTTTGCAGTCACGACCACCACACAGAACCAAAAGTGCAATTCAAGTATAAACCCTATGCCTTACCTTCAACTCTTCCTCAAATAATGGACCGCAAACATCTAACGGGTAGTGAAGTTTCCCAGTACGATAATAATTCAGAATTTGCGAGAATACGCCTGGATGTCGATCGAAAAAGTACTCATTCAGTACAGGATCGTAATTCGCTAGATTTGTGGTCAAGCGGGAAAGTCTGCAATTAGGGATTTTTCGAAATCAACTCTAGAAGAAAGAGTGGCTTACCTTGTAGCTGGAATCTTCTTCAATGTGTGTTTATATGTTTCATGCCTAACACCTCCAACATTCAATATTATCCTATATTCTGAGTCCATAACAGTGTTTCTGAAAAGAAGAAATTGTGGCTGGTTACTGTAGCTAGTACCAATGTCCTTTACATTTGTAGATACAAAATAGTAGGTTGCAAGTTGCAAGTGTAGAAAATTGTAGGCTTTGAGTACAATCTATCTGTAGAATTCTGATGGGAGATGGGAAATTTGCAGGGTTTGAGGATATTTATAGCCGTTAAGCTTGCATTTGCTCATGTAGTCATCAAATGCATGTTTTCTCGTCAGTTTTACAATAAATTTGCATTTACAGCGTCTTCAAACTCAATATAAATTCTAAATTGAGGAAATAGGATGAAATGAGCGAGCGCAAAACGAACTGCCTTCGGGGGGAATCGAACCCCCGTCGAATGCTTGGAGGGCATCCATGCTAACCATTACACCACGAACGCCTGAGTGTTCTCAATGCTAGAACTCTACTTGACGTATTCCCTTGAGCGCGAGTGGAGACAGTGTATTGTTGAGCCTGTCAGTGACGTTTCTAGAGCTTTGTTTGGTGTGTTTTCTTGAACGCAAGCGGGGACCGTGAATCTCTTTGATATCGAAAACATTTTTTCTGCTAAAAATTCTTGAAAAAATGAATAAGGTTAGAGAAACCGCCGAATAAGTAATTTCTACAAGGCAGGAAAAAGAAGTAATATCTCAGGCAGAGTGAGCTCATGGTAAGTGAGAAAAGAGCTAGAAATGTCTATGCTATTAAAGAGTCATAATTATGGAAAATCTCTCAGCATTATTCATTTATAACCTCATAAACTACAACAAATCTTGGAAGAGAGTAAACAACTAGTATACCACTCAGAAAGCAAAGAGGCATTGCAAGAAGGCTAAGGCAGCAGTTGAAAAATTACGGAAAGCCGACACAATGTTGATTGTATTTTCGGCCAAACGTAATCGATTGGAAGGAATAAATATAGTAAATGAACCAAGGACAAGAAAGCAATGTGTACTGCATCAGAGATACTGTAGGTTCCACTGCTCTCTCCATTCTCCCACAGAAAAGAAAGGCAAGTTTTCAGAAGTTATTGGCATAAGGAGTAGTGCAATGATTGTTGTTTACATACGATGATGATGCAACTTATTTTTGAGAGTGAAGTTGAGGCAACTGTGAAAACTCGAAAATTTGCGAATGTAAAAAAAAACACGTATTAATCAGTGCACAGAGAATTGTGAGGATATGACGTTACACGAACTCGCAATTAGACCTTTCCCATTTTGCGTCTTAAGTACTGAGACAAAGTACACCGGTCAAAAAGTTTAACCAGCAACTTTAGGAGCAACTCCGCCCAACAAGAATGTAGCATGGAAAAGCTTGGTAGTGATTTTCTGCAATATACATTGTGAGAAAGAAATAAAGAAACGCATAGCGTATGATGCGCCCGAGCTTTTATCTACTCAGACAACTGACCGGAACTTCTGCAGGTCGTTGAGAAAGTTCCGCCAGGTCACCCGAGGAAGCTGCGTTCATGTGCTGCGGAGTTCCCAAATGAGATGCTGCGGAAGTTCCGAAGAATACGAACTACAATAACAAAAGGAACACCAAAGCGAAATTAGAACCTTACTCGAGAGCGAGATTTGAAACTCTAAGGATGACATATTCGACAATGCACTCTAGTTGTTGGCGAGAGAACATCGTAAGAGATGACACATTTGGAACTTGCGGAAGTACTGGCAGGCTAAAGTACTGCGGTACCGTCAGCGTTTTTCGGAAATTCCGCAGCGCTTTGTAAAAAGTTCTGCGGAAGTCAGACTCTGCTAGTCTGACGCGAAAATCTTGCTCAAAAGCTCCTATTCCCAGGATTTCCACTTTGTGATAGTGAACAAAGTTCTGCGGAGCCGCTGCAAATTTGGCTTGTCCTGCGGAAGCTCCGGTAAATTGTCTGAGTAGAAAAATGGAGAAAAAGCGTTTTCCAAAACTATCTCAAAGTCATGAGGTTCAGTGCCGCAAATACGCTAAGTAAAGGGCTTAATATTACGTTTTGCGCTTTTAGCATTATGAATCGAAATTCAAAGCACATGGAGTCAGTTTTTCCCTCGAGAGAGACCTATTGCCTTGTTTACCTTAGCAAGAAAAGGTCACAAGAGCGATTGATTTCCAGAATTGTAGGTAGGAAATTTCCCAAAATTGCAATTGGAGAGTCAATAATATAAAATGCAAACAGGTAATATATGGAAACATGCAAATGACTTGCAAAAATGTGCTTCCTGAGGTTTGCAAAGACAGCGCACTTTGTTGTAATAGTCGAAAACCAGAAATTGAGCAGAGTTGAAGAAGTATGGGTGTTTAGAGGCACCGCTCATCCAGATTCTTGACTTTTACGTCTTGGGCGTTCCGGGGCCTTCTCCTTCCGAATATGAAGTCGAGAATCCGGGAGAGCCCCAACAATTCCCGTTCCGGAGAACCCGCAGGCCTCTCCGGAACGCCCATTTGATGAGCGCGAACGGATGGGCGGGCATTACTGGAGGAGGGGCGGTGCCTACCAGGGGTCCTCATGCGTCTTGCAATTCCGAAGCGACACTTTGCCCAGCAGCTTACGCATTGGCTTCATAGGGGAGGCCTACTATCACAAGCTGCCAAGAACTCAAGAGCCCTAAACTTTAAATGCACGATGCCTTCAAGGAATGAATGTTTCTTTAAAAAAGATTTCTATAGGCGAGAAAGTGCATATGACAGACATTTCGGACGATTAACGGATGCAAAACAATGTAATTGTATGGGGTGAGCTGGGGGGTATAGGGACGGAGGAGAACAATTAGGCGGGAACTGCACTTGCAGAAGCGGGAAGTGGAAGTATAGGGCAAGTTTCACTTGAGAAGCATCAAGCATGTAAGATCTGAATTCTTCGCAACACAATTTCATGCTTTCATCTCATTTTTCTTCCAGTGTGGGAGAATGAATAACAATAGAAACCAAACATACCTCCACAAAACAAAATTAAATCAATTTTTCTTCTAGGCTAAAACCGGGAACGTGTGGAAAATCTTTTTTTTCTCGAATTCCACAATTGGAAACATTGGAAATAATTGTACTTGTGGTCCGTAATTTTTTTGGAGGCTACAGAAGAAATGCTTTTCGAATGAAGGGGTTTTTGAATGCTTTATTGCAAATTTTCTTGCGGGCCCTATCCTATAACTCTAAATAATTGGAAAGAGGGGTTAACCACCCTAAGAAAAATTTTTTTTACAAGGGCGAATTGAGTTTTCAAAAATTTCAAGGATATTCCAAACTTCAAACAAACAAAATTTTGGCCCCTCCCCCCCCCCCCTCACATTCTCAAATTAATGGCATAAACGGATGAAAAAGAATGGGAACTTTTTCATGGAGCAACTTATTATTTTTTGAATTTGAATGCAATTTTTGAATTTTTATTTTGAAGAGTCTCTTGAAATTATATTAGGTCGTTCCGAAAGTAATGTCGCTTTTTTCAAACGAACGCCACATCTTGTGGAATAAAGGTATGTAAGGCCCCGGTCAGACTTCACGCGACTTAATCGTCGCGACCAAATCGCCAAGATTTCCATTCATTTTCATTTCACATTCAAAAATTTCGGTCTGGAAAAGTATCACAACCGAATGCAAGTTGATCTGCATGGAATGATGTTGTAACAGTTGTCTCCTCGCGATTCAGTCGTGACGATCAAATCGCGTGAAGTCTGCCCGGGGCCTAAGAGGTTTTGGTAGCATTTGATGCAGCATTTCATTCTCTTTCTAAAGGTTATATAACTAACGCACAAAATTTGATAACTTTTCGAAAAATTATCAAAATCTGCGACCCATGCTTTTTGAGAAGGCCAAGTTTCACAATTTTTCTAAATTTTTATAACAACCCCCGGAAGGAGTCCAAGTTATGTATGGATAGAGCAAACCCTACGGGAAGCAGCACAACTCTTTTCACTTTCCATAGCTCGTCATAATTTTTGTATAGATTTTTTGACGGAACCACCGAATCTTTGCAGGCTCGTCTCAGACACAAATGCACTAAACACCAATAAATCTTCGATTTTGAGACTTACAAAAGTGTATTGTGGCTTGACACTATATTTACAAAGCAAATGAGTATTTGCCGCTTCAGATTAGCAACTTTCGAAAATTCCGAGTACAGCCTTGGGCGCCCTGGAAAACCTGAACTACGATGATTTTATCCCGGAAAACCTTATGAATCGGAAACAAAAAAACAACTGATAGAAAGAGGAGAAAAAGCTGCGTCGAATGACACCCGAGTTGCTTGCCGGTTGTTGTTCTGTGAGGTTTGAATTGACCAAATATGGAATTTGGTGGCATTGAAAAATTGGTTCCGGAAACTCTAAGAAGCAAGCTAAGGTAAAGAAAAAAATTACTCTGTGTCCTGTAGGAATTGCTTTATCTATCTGTCGCTTGTACTTTTCCGGAGAGTAGGTACAAAAATTTAAAAAAATTAGCCGAACTCCACCACGGCAAAAAACATGAGTCGCAAATTTTGTTAATTTTTCTAAAGCTTATTAGATATTATGCATTGAAATTGCAACCATTAGAAAAAGAATGAAATGCTGCATCGAATGCTTCTAAGATCTCTTGAAATATTGATTCCCTGAAATGTGGCGTTCATTTGAAAAAAGCGACATTACTTTCGGAACGACCTAATACAATGTCATGCAAGTGAAGGCTTGTACACTTTTGAATTCCAGAAAATTTTTTCTAGAAAAAAGTTTTCGCCTATTCGTAGTTGCCAATTTTTGCGAAAAAATCAAAGCTTCGAATTCACAAACGGGGATATGCACGTTATAAAAACTGTTTGTAGGTCGGTTCAGTTCAAATCCCCCCCCCCCCCCTTCTCCCTGCCAAATTTTTTTGTAAATATAAAGAAGCGTGGACGAAGCCAAGCAAATGTCTCCCCTAAATAGCAGTAATTTTATCCGTAAACAAAAGTACAAATGTATTCTAAGGTTATACGAACAGCATCAAAGCACGACATTGGAAACCCGCAGAAATGGAGAATAGGACGGCTGATTTG